TATATATATATATATATATATATATATATATATATATATAGTAGGTCATTTGAGGAGATCTCATTGATCGTAGGACAAGCTGATGACTTCACTCTGCTTGGATCAGATTGTGGGTAAATTTCCGTTTTGATCCATTGCAATATATGATTAGGATTGGGAGATCTGATTATGTTGAGTGTAGTTTCACGCACCAAAAAATTTATCCGTAATAGTTTGACCGCTTCACAAGCACTGACGATGTCACCCCGGCTGATGACGAAATGTTTGCAAACAAATTGCCAAGCTCGGCGAACTGATGAGATGGAATAATTTCCGCATAATTTTTTGGATGTTTTAGGAAGACGCTTACGCCGAGTCAGTTCAGGCAGCAGGCTGAGTGATCTGTTGATATGTGTCGATGATTTTAATGCAATATTGAACCCAATTTACTGGGACGGACTTCATTGATGTGAATGTTGGCCACATGCACGCAAACGAAACGTTTGGGTCGCATACTATGTTTGATTAAAGCCTTTCACACAAAACCTAATAACATTGTTCTGGTGACTTACGTTTGTTCTTATAACTTTTTTTCTTGAAGCTTCTACTTTGTCGGTGATGAAGACCTTCTAGAAATAATTGGCAACAGCAAAAATGTGCCACGGTTGCAGAAACACTTTAAAAAGATGTTCGCTGGTGTTCATGCCATCAAGTTAAGTGAAGATAGCACTGAAGTACTTGGTCTATGCTCCAAAGAGGGCGAGGAAGTGCTGTTCACAAAACCCGTTTCAATAAAAGACAATCCGGTGATCAATGATTGGCTCACTCTTTTGGAACGTGAGATGCGTGTTTCTTTGGCAACCTATCTTGGCCGGGCTATTCAAGAGCTTCAAGTAAGCTCACGTGTTTGTATCTTCTTGTTCTGACATCGGTTTACGTAAAGCAAATCCTAACTTGGTAATCCGCTCCTCCTCAGTTTTTCATCACGCGCTTCAAACGTCTGCTTCCTTAATGTTTCCATATTGCAACGAGTTTTGTCACATTATTATGGTGCCTAACGATAGTTCTGTCTATTCTTGTTAACTCTGCCATACTTTATTTTTAATGCATTGTGCTCCATCGTTTGCTTTATTCTACATAATGAAGTAGAATAAATAAATAGGCTTTTTGGATATGATTGTGGATTGAATTGGTTCCGTGTGGTTCCGAGGCGGTAATGAGTTCTTCAGTATACTTTTATCGCTTCCTGTATGCTGATTATCAAAAGCAGTTTCCCTTGATCTGATCTTTACTGCGGTTTAGAGTCCATTCAGTTTCAGTCATTGTAATAGTGTTTTTAGGAGCATGTAATTCACTCAAGTCATAACGTTCACACCTTTCTGACAAAATCTCTGTTAACGGTTGCCGAGTTTTTCTTTTCGCCTTTCCCGTCCTATATCTTCGTAGACCACCTATTGTAAAGTCTGGAATTATCTAAAATCTTGGTTTCTGTGCGTGGAAAGTTGATAGTAAACTTGGACACAGGAAGTATATTAATAATCTATCCCATGGAGCATGAGGCACCAATTTAGTCGCATAGATTCCCTATCTATATTACGTTTTCATCTTTTTTTCGAACAATTTCTCGATGCTGACAGCTATTTCAAAAACCACCACTCTTTTCTTAAATACTTATACTAATCCTCTTTTCCATTAACTGATTTTTTCGAGCTTGATTCGTGCGTTTATATGTTTATCTAACCGCGTTGCACCAATGCTCACTGCTTGCCGGACTACTCTAACCGTTTATGTATAGCAAGCTGGCGTTCTCTACGGTCCAAACAGCGAGGTGAGCCGTTTCTAGTCTCCAATTGTTCCCGTGAGACATCATATTGAAATCCCCCCTCTCCCTCCATCCTTCTTTGTGCTTCTTGTGTACACTGGGGATTTTTACTTTCCCCAGTTCCCCAATTCTTGCTTGATCTTTCTGGTTCTGAATCTGTTGCTTACTTGTCCGCTTGCATCTTTAGTTTTCTTCAGACAAGGTCTGCCGGTACACGATGCATCTTTTGGCTTCTAGTCTGCTTCACTGCCCATTCTGTCTCTGTCTATCAAATGAGTGTTTTAAGTTGCACTGAACCGTACATTTCACTTATTTTCTCAAGCTTTAGAAAATTTCACCGGTGTACTTAGTTTCTATAAATAAGCATGTGGTTCTCCTTCTCTATTGCTTAACTTGAATACATTGAACGTTCCATTATTTTTCCAAGGTTTTTTGTTGATGGACCAAGTATTTAATTCTGGTGGATTCCGTCCAATCATTACTTTCATTGTCAGAATCATATATCTCTCTGTCTGCTTGCATTCCATTTCGTGCAAAATGATACTTTCGCCCGATGCATGATTTGCTTTCGTCTCCTCTCTTCAACTAAAAGGCATGATAATCCTCTGGTGTTGTACTGTTACGCAATGTTATCGCGTGATTTTGCTCAACCTGCTTTATTGCAAACATCGTCCTCCCATAAACTCGCCTGCTTTCGCTAGCTTGCTTGTTGCTTTCATGCATAAGTCTGCAATTTTCGCTTCAGCGTTAAGCTAATCACATCAATGTTTTTCTCTTTGTAGAAGTTGAAAGCCGCTGGTGACCTTGGAAAGACCGGATTCATTGCATGGATTGACAAGTTTCAAGCGCAACTTGTCGTTCTTGCCGCTCAAGTCATTTGGTCCGAGGCCGTAGATGCAGCGCTTACCGCCATGGATGGGAAAAACCCCGCAGATGGCGATAGTCCCTTGCAGAAATGCCTTAAATCCGTCGAAAGCATGCTAACTGTGTTGGCTGATTCAGTGCTGTATGAGCAACCACCTGTTCGTCGTCGAAAGCTTGAACATCTGATTATTGAACATGTACATCAGCGTGATGTCATTCGTAATCTCATCCAGAATGGTGTGAATTCACCGCGTTCATTTGATTGGCTCAGCCAAATGCGATTCTACTTCGATCCAAAACAGCAGGATCCATTGCGACAAGTTTCCATTCAAATGGCCAACACTAAATTCCAATATGGGTTCGAGTATCTCGGTGTCATTGACCGTCTGGTTCAGACCCCGTTGACTGACCGATGCTACCTGACTTTGACGCAAGCACTTGAAGGACGTCTTGGTGGCTCACCATTCGGACCTGCAGGTACAGGAAAAACCGAGTCTGTCAAGGCATTAGGAACGCAGTTAGGCCGATTTGTGCTAGTATTCAACTGCGATGAAACATTCGATTTCCACGTAAGTTTGAAATTCTTTTATTGTTTTGAATAAATTGGTAATCGGTCAATTTTATTGATTATTTAAACGAAAATAAATCTGTTTCCAGGCGATGGGTCGCATCTTTGTTGGATTATGTCAAGTTGGTGCATGGGGTTGTTTCGATGAGTTCAATCGACTCGAGGAACGCATGCTGTCTGCGGTTTCGCAACAAATTCAAAGTATTCAAGAAACCCTAAAAGACATGGCCGGCGCAGCTCGACCTCAGGGCAAAGACGCGGTAACCGTGGAGCTTTTGGGGAAACAGGTTAGCGAACTTTCAGCGTTTTGCCTCAAGTGATCAGCTTGTAATAATAATTTTCGATATTCTACATATATATATATATATATATATATATGTATATATAACGATTGGTTACTCATGCTATTCTTCTGTTTTAGGGATGGATTTTTTAATTAAACTATCGAAAGGCTTTGCAACTATGGGCGTCATGACCAAATATTTCCATGTTTATTCACAGGTTACTCATAAGTAGCATCATTCGATATGCTGAAAAGTAGTTGTATATATGCAAGCTGCTGCAAAACTCATCATTCAAGTACTACTTATTGCATGACATTCAAAAATGGCATTCGGCCAATTTTTTGCGTTAGTTCTCACGCAAACTGCTAAAGAACATGTGCAGATCAAAATTTTTCAAGAGTGTGTATGCATGATTTGATCAGTTATGATGCCGTCAAAAGCCACTTAATCTGTTCCACGTTCGTTTTTTTAACCAAGGGGTATGAGTTTCTCCGATAATTGATCATCTGTCCCAAAGCTGTTGGACTGCACTCATCGCTGATATTTTATTTTTACATTGTTCTCACTTCCAGGTGACAGTTCATCCTGATATGGCTATTTTCATTACAATGAATCCGGATTATGCTGGTCGTTCAAACTTACCGGATAACCTTAAGAAGCTCTTCCGCTCTTTGGCAATGACTCAGCCGGATCGGCAATTGATCGCTCAAGTTATGTTGTACTCCCAGGTAAAAATTCTCATACTGTCCCCTATCTCTGCATTTTGAATGCTTCGATTTGCCTGCTCTACTGTTTCCACATATGCGTTTCAGGGCTTCCGCACTGCAGAAACCTTGGCTGGCAAAATTGTCCCATTCTTCCAGCTGTGTGATGAGCAACTTTCCCCTCAATCGCATTACGATTTTGGCTTGCGTGCCCTGAAGTCGGTGTTGGTCTCATCGGGAAATGTTAAACGAGATCGCATTCGTAAGATTAAAGAGGATCTCGTGTCACGAGGAGAAACGGTGAGTTACTGTTACTTGAAAGGTAATATTCAAGCGCCTTGATGTTGTTCCATCAGTTCTCTGTGCTCTACTTTAACGTCATCATATTTTCTCAGCTCACCTCATTCTCCTTTTTGTCAATCTTTTTGTTAGTTTTTGTCCGCTCCTTGCTCAGATTACTATAACCGAAGCCTTGGAATGGAAGACGGATAAATGTTTCAGCGGAATCAATTTATTTGTGGCTAGCTAAAAATTTGTCGAATCTGTTGTAAATATACTGCATGACATTCGGAAACTTAAATTAACTTTTCAGAAAAGCGCAGATCCTTCCTGTTTGCCACCTAGTTTGCAGCAGCTTGTCTTCTCGCATCAGAATAACACTTGGATTGTTCGGCAAAAACACTCGCGCTCTGGAGTGTTTTTATTCGTGCGGTGAAATATTCCTTCACAACATCCGCTCACTTTTGTAATCGCAAATTGGTGATTGTCGTTTGTTCGATTTCATACAGAGGAATTTCTGTCTAGTTGTTCAAAGGTTACATCGGTCATCAGGAATAATCCCTTGGGCGGCAGTCATCAGGTTCTAAGGGAAGGAAAGAGAGCATTTTGTTTCGAATAGTTTTATTTTGTCGAAAGATTGAGGTAACTCCGTTTTAGACAGAATCATAATAAACCACCCCGAATTCTTCTCCCTCCATCTACGTGCACCAGTGATCATTGTCTACTTCTAAGGTCCACGATATATTCCCGTTCTGCCTTTCGTTTGTTTAGTCGAACTAACCAAATTAAAATCCGTCTTCATAGTACATCACGTGAGTGTATTCCTCTTCTTCAAAGATCCCTATCTTATGCAACTTCCTAATTCTCCTTTAGCCTTCTTTGAACAACAATGCTAATCCTTTTGTCGATACAATCAACTCCATTTGCGGCATCTGTTGTCACTTGGAAACCCCATTTCTCTCCAATGGTCTTATTGCTTCTCCGAACCATTAAGGAGACACAAGGAACACTTGTAAAAATCTCCGGAACTAATCAACGGTCAAATGTGTTTCCCCATTGATAAAAAAAGGAACTTAGGCGTATCTGCTCGTCTTATACAACCACAACAGGAAACATTTGTCGAAAGGTATTCGAATCTTATATGGAACGAATTCCAGACCTACTAAATGTACTGTGGACGCTGAGAGTATAAATCGTGCATTTATACATCCGAACAATGATCCTCCTGTTTTATGGATCTCGGAAGATGCTGCGAATGTAGTCCCATGCTCTAGATGAGAAGTGTTCAACCTCCCTCACAATTACCTCATCTACTGGTGTCGGTCCCGACGATTCATCATCATCCCTAGTGGATGCCTTTACTTCTCTCCCCAACACATCATTTAGTACGTATTCCATCCCTCATTACTGAACTGTATAGATCCAGCACCCCACCCAAACGTTTCCGTTCCATTGATCCCACGTCATGCGGTCTTAAATTGGCGAAACGAGCCAATCTCCAAGGTTCGTTTGTTTCTTTCGGTACTATCGAAGACCCTGTCCATTTTGCGTATGAATCAAACAAATTCACTTTGAATGCTGTCATCTACCACCAAAGAATCTTGAAGCCCAAAGCTCATGAGTGGTCGTGACTTACATCCCCTGACTATCACCACTGGTCTCTCTTGTCCAACATGTTGCCCGACGATGCTCTCTGTACTGTAGTTTATACTATTTTTCAGTGTTACGATTTCTTCATTTCTATTGCTTTACTGAAATTTTCGCGCACATCTACTCGAAGGTTCCAACCTATTGTTGACGAATTTCGCAATTATTCTAAAATGACCTAATATTGTTTTATTCATGCATCCGGACATGATGCTCATTTATTTTCACTTTTCATCCTGATGCTTAGATCAACGAAACGGCGATTGCAGAGCAACTTCCAGAACAAGAAATTTTGATTCAGTCGGTTATGGAAACGATGGTTCCTAAGCTGGTCGCTGAAGACATTCCGCTACTCTACAGTTTATTAACCGATGTCTTCCCGGGCGTAGTGTATTCCCAGTCGGCGATGGAAGGATTGCGTCGAGAGCTTCGTCGCGTATGCAAAGAAATGTATCTTGTTTACAACGAAACTGGTTTGTTCGACTCAGATGGTTCGATGGATACTTCAACCTCGGGATCCACTGCGGGAGGCGCACTCTGGGTTCAAAAGGTTTTACAACTCTACCAGATCACATGTATTCATCATGGTTTAATGATGGTCGGCCCTTCGGGAAGTGGGAAGTCATCTGCCTGGCGTGTGCTGCTTAAGGCTCTTGAACGTCTTGAAGGTGTTGAAGGTGTGGCTCATGTTATTGATCCAAAATCAATTAGCAAGGAGTCGCTGTACGGTTATCTTGATCCGAATACGCGTGAATGGACCGACGGTTTGTTTACACATATTCTACGAAAGTGAGTTTTCGATATTCAAATGGGCTGAACTTTAATCTTAAATCTGAGTAAAGAATGTATGTATCCACCACTCTCAGACTGCGTGCATCTAAGCTATANTAAGCTATAACCCGTCGAATCATGGCAAATTAGTTGCATGTAAGGCGATGGGAATTCAAACTAGCCCCTTGTTTTGACAGGCAATCATAATTTAACACTTCCGTCTCTTCCAAGGCATATCGACGCACCGCAGCCCGGCAATAAAAAGTGACCACAATAGGTTTTGTGCTTTGTAAACATCTTGGCTATTCGCACCATGCTATACATTTTTCAACTTCAGCTAAATTCACCTGTTGCGTCTTGTTAGGCATCCTATTACACAGTTTATTCTTCTCTCTTCAATCATATTACATTTCCTATGTAGGAAGAACCAGTATCCTGAGATGTTTACCGAAACTACTCACCCACTTAACTCTGGTCTCCCTCGGTTGTCTGTGGAGGTCCGAGTGTATGCCGCGGCAGTTCGGCCATTTCTGCTATACGGCGCGGAAACTTGGCCAATAAGAGGGTATGAAAACCCTGACCAGGAGTCTGGGTCACATAGGTCCCATTAGGCTCCCTGGCTGGGGACCTCGGGATGATCGTAACCGATGGTTAGAGACACTGAATGATATGGCTGGGTGTCGTAAACAGTGGCGTTCGTCCATCTACCCATTATTTTTATAACCCCAGTCTATACGAATTCTCTATTTTCACTTTGACTTTACTGTCAACGTTCTAGTGTTCATTCCGCTGTTTTATCCAAATGGGCCGCACGAAAGTGCATAGTTCATGATTGTAAAAAATAAAACCAATTCTCCCTCCTTGAAGATGTACTGCATTTCCGGTCCGCTTGGATGGAGTAGACAAATGAAATTACACGGAGCCCCCTCGTGAATAGTTTGAATGAGGACCCACTAAAGCGAAGTTTGTGGTTTTTTGCAGTGAAGGGTACATTAACAGTGCTTGTGAACTGGTCACTTTACAAGCACTGATGATGTCACCCAGACTGGTGATGAAACGTTTGCAAACAAATTTCCAAGCTCGGCGAACAGGCGAAATGGAACAAACAGAGTAGTACCAATGATTTGACCGTTTGGGTTTCACACTGGTGATTCCTCGGACGTTTGAGCTCATACTGTGTGCCAAATACATCACGGTACAAAAATCTCTAGAAAAAAGAATAAGGTCCATGATTTTCTCGAGGGCGCAATACTGCCAGGTTACCCAGTCCAAAGCAGTTGAATGATCTTAGGCAATTCACAACCGGAGCTTTCAGCTAGACTGAGTCTGACTCGCAAGGCAGCGGAGCGATGTGTGCAATCCATTGGAGCTGGTGTCCAGTTCATCGGCTCATGGGCTCTTCGGACGGGATCAAATGTCCAAGGTGCCCAATACATCTCGATGCTCAATTGAGCCGGTGACCACTACCACGGCCAAGAAGCTGTGGGTCAGTGTGATTCGTGCGCTTGTTCTTGGTTGGTCTGGGATCACGGTGTTTAGCCATCTACCCAAGGTGAACTACCAGGGGTTCACCAACCCAGATTCTGGCTTTTCGTCCTCTCAATTCGTTGGGAAAACACCCCCGTCAGGGGAAGACAATGAGTATGGCTTTCTCAGCAGACCCTTTTTGGGACACTTGGTCCTATGGGAGCGTTTCGCGAGGTACAAGAGTTGATCAGCCGCAACCCAAGACACCCATCCTCGACTATACTGAAGCTTTCGGGACGTTTCTAACTTCGTACACTGAAACAAAACGTTTAGCATGCACTCCATTGTTCTTCTTGTTGAGTTTCGTGTTTTTTCCGTCGCACTGAGTTTTATTTTCCCCTTTTTTGGTGAATGCCATTTTAGAGTTATACCAATGGTTAAATCCGTTGAGTCTCAGTGTATTATTGATCAGTGAAAACTCAAAAGTTGTTATGATGCATCAAGTCCTTTAAATGTACGTATCCTCCAACCTTGACTTGATGTTTCGACCCATTTTTACAGAATCATTGATAGCATTCGTGGTGAATCGTTGAAGCGTCAGTGGATTATCTTTGATGGAGACGTTGATCCAGAATGGGTTGAAAATTTGAATTCTGTACTGGACGATAATCGTCTGCTCACATTGCCCAACGGAGAACGTTTGGGTATTCCTCCAAACGTACGAATCATGTTCGAAGTGCAAGATCTACGTTATGCTACACTGGCTACGGTTTCCCGTTGCGGTATGGTTTGGTTCAGCGAGGATGTTGTCACTCCGGAACTCGTCATGGAACATTTCATCCTTCAGCTACAAAATGTACCTGTTGATGAAGGTGAAGAGGAAAGTGGTGCGTTCGCCCTGGGTGCACCTGTTCCTGATGCCAACGGATCTCCGGATGGGGCCACTAGCCCTGGTCTGCCTGAAACTGGTGGCGTCCCACAAGGCAACGTGCCAGTCAGCGCCACACTTCAACTGCAGTGTGATGTAGCCAGCATCTTACAACCTCATTTTGGTGATGGTGGTCTGGTGTCGCGTTGTTTGATGTACGCGAAGGACCTGGACCATATTATGGACTTTATGCCTTTACGTTCACTTACTAGTTTGTTTTCTATGCTAAAACAAGCCATTCGGGGCATTCTGGCTTACAACATGACACATTCCGATTTCCCCATGTCAGCAGACCAGATTGAATCGTATATAAGCAAGAGTTTAGTCTATGCAATAATTTGGTCCATGTGTGGTGATGGTCGATTGTCTACTAGAGAACAAATGGGTGACTACTTGCGAGAAATCACCACCATTCCTCTTCCACCACCGGGAACGTCAATTATTGATTACGAAGTGACCCTGCTTGGTGAATGGCAACCATGGGCCCAGAAGGTACCTGTGATTGAAGTGGAAACCCACAAGATTACCTCCATGGACGTGGTTGTACCCACCATGGATACGGTGAGACACGAAGCCCTACTGTATATGTGGCTAGCCGAGCATCGGCCCATGGTACTCTGCGGTCCCCCCGGTTCTGGAAAAACCATGACCTTATTCAGGTAATTCATGTACTTAAATTTGTCTTTCACCACCAGATTTTGTGAATTTTCTCATTGTCTTATTTATACAAAGCTTGTTTTGTTAAAACAGTAACCAGGATTGATAGTTAGGACTGTTTTCGCTTCCAAACGTTTTATCAGACATATCATTAGAGGAACTTCGACTTAAGACAAAAACAAAACCGCATCCCTTACAGTTTGTACTGCATACACACAACCAAACTATCGTAATTTTTCGTTTCGTTCCGCAGCATGGCTTGCGATGGTCTTTGCGAAGCTCACCGGTGCCTGAAAACTGGTATGACAATCTCCATCGTACAGTGATTGCTAATGGTAATTTCATCCATTACCGAGGGTAACATTTGAAAACCGTAACAGGAATAACCATAATTGCACTTAGAAAAGTTATGATTTCAACCGATTCAGTCATTAGATTATTTATCTAATGATAATTTTATGTTGAATGTCTTCGTGTACAAAGCAAAAAAGGCACGAAGTGATAATCCAGGAAGCCTCGTGTTGTGTTATCAACAGTATGAACCAATACTGATACCTTTGTTTATGCCGACTATAAAGCTAGCCATAGTTGCTATGGTCAGACTTCAAATATACAAATTAGCATACGTCACTAGTCTAGTCCTTCCAAATTTTACTTCTTCAACAACGGTAGGATTATGTAATTCTTCATTTCTTTATAAATGCACGACATCATCTGTCTCATTTTTCACTCTTCCAGCGCTTTGCGCAGTCTACCTGACATGGAAGTAGTCGGGTTGAATTTCTCCAGTGCTACCACTCCAGAACTAATGATGAAGACATTTGATCAATACTGTGAGTGCCGTAAAACACCAAATGGTTTGGTTTTGGCCCCTGTTCAGTTGAACAAATGGCTTGTTTTCTTCTGTGACGAAATCAATTTGCCCAATGAGGATAAATACGGCACACAGCGTGTGATCAGTTTCCTACGACAGATGGTTGAACACGGAGGTTTCTACCGCACTTCAGATATGCAGTGGGTTAAATTCGAACGTATTCAGTTTGTGGGCGCGTGTAATCCTCCAACCGATCCTGGTCGAAAGCCATTGTCTCATCGTTTCCTGCGACACGTTCCTGTGGTCTATGTGGACTATCCTGGCGAATTATCGTTGAAACAAATTTACGGTACATTCAACCGTGCTATGCTTCGTCTTTTGCCGTCCCTGCGCTCCCATGCCGATGCACTCACTAATGCCATGGTCGAATTCTATTTGTTGTCTCAGAAACGCTTCACACAGGATATGCAACCGCACTACATATACAGTCCTCGTGAGTTGTCACGCTGGGTACGTGGTATCCACGAGGCACTCAAACCACTGGATAGCCTGTCTGTTGAAGGTTTAGTGCGTATCTGGGCTCATGAAGCGTTGCGTTTGTTCCAAGATCGCTTAATCGAAGAAGTCGAAAGACAATGGACTGATACAAACATTGACGAGGTCGCAGTAAAGTACTTCCCAGCAATTGACACAGTTGCTGCGTTACAGCGACCCATTCTGTTCAGCAATTGGCTGTCTAAAGAGTATTGTTCAGTAGACCAAGAAGCTTTACGTGATTATGTTAAAGCTCGCCTTAAAGTATTTTATGAAGAAGAGTTGGATGTCCCATTGGTTTTATTCAACCAAGTATTGGATCATGTACTGCGAATTGATCGCGTGTTCCGTCAACCCCAGGGCCATTTGCTCCTTATCGGGATCAGTGGTGCTGGCAAAACAACTTTGTCACGTTTCGTGTCCTGGATCAATGGTCTAAGTGTTTTCCAAGTGAAGGTGCATAACAAATACACGGCAGAAGATTTTGACGATGATTTACGGAACGTACTGCGACGTGCCGGATGCAAAGGTGAAAAGATCACTTTCATTATGGACGAATCCAACGTGCTGGATTCCAGCTTCCTCGAACGAATTAATACGTTACTTGCCAATGGAGAAGTTCCCGGTCTCTTTGAAGGAGATGAATTTGCTGCGCTGATGACTCAGTGTAAAGAAGGCGCCGCCCGCGAGGGTCTGATGGTGGACAGCAATGAAGAGTTATACAAATGGTTTACCAATCAAATTTGTACCAATTTGCATGTGGTATTCACTATGAATCCTTCAGAAGATGGTCTGAAGGACCGGGCTTCTACCTCTCCTGCTTTGTTCAATCGATGCGTTCTGAACTGGTTTGGAGACTGGTCTGTCGAAGCCTATTACCAGGTAAAACTCCGTTCTATGCATTCATTATATTTGCTTTCAACTGATCCATTGCTTATTATGAGATAAAGGCCGGTGTAGCGTATACTCATTGCAGGAAGCTGAAGTTCCTCCAGCTCTTGATGTGATTTAAAATGGTTAAGGAGAGAAATCTTTTTTTAATGTTTGCTGTATCTGTTTCTAAGATATTGGCCCCTGCACATTTATCCACAGCGTGCTGCTAGTTCATTAGGGATTCCTAAGATGATCTACACTGAACCATCATTTTATTTCCTAATCAACGAGATATTTTGTGCAATTGTATATTCTAATTATGAAATAATAAAGATGTGATCAAAATGCTTCATAGCTGTTGACTGTCCCTTACGAAGTTTATCCAATATTCATGTTTGGGTGGCGAAATATCCTGCAGGCCCTTAATTTTTGTTTAGCGGATCGCGAAGGAAGCAACTCGCAGTATGTCAGCCATCTGGTTGGATGCCTCGCTGTGTTGATTTCGTCGTTGAGGGGGGGGGGGGGGGGGGCTATCCTAATACCGATTCTGTCATCCTATATTTTTTGGCATATTTCTCAATAAATGTGTGCCACATTTGATGGACAGTTCAACTTTAGAATTACGTAAACGATATAGCAACATGCTTTCAATCACTTAACTCTGACCTTATATGTATCTCCCTAGAATGATCAACTAACAGGAATTTAAAAGTTGATCAAACCTGAAAACCACTGCCTTACATATCGTATTCCTCATAGAGTATTTTCGTATCTGCTTCCTGGATGTATCGATCGCTTTTCAAATACAATGCACCATTGATGTCTTGCACTGTTCACAGTATTCCGGTCAATACTCTGTTTTCCCAATACTTCATTGCAAATCGTATTTGTCACTGTTTGTTTGAGTGCGTAATGTGCTTTCGTGCTCATTGAAATCTTTCGTTTTAGGTGGGTAAAGAATTCACGGACAAAACTGATATGGAACGAGCAGATTATAAGGTGCCGGACATCATTCCGTCTGTGGCTGAACACCTGCTTCCTGAATTTCCCACTTTCCGAGACATGGTGGCCAATGCATTTGTCTTCGTTCATCAAACATTGCATCAGGCGAATGCGCGTCTGCGGAAACGCGGGGGTCGTACCATGTGGATAACACCACGACACTTTTTGGACTTTATCGCTCACTTTGTTCGCCTGATGGCCGAGAAACGATCCGATCTAGAGGAGCAACAATTGCACTTACAAATCGGGTTGCAAAAGATCAAAGAAACAGTGGAACAAGTACGTGTTCGACTTTGTGGACGAGTTCCTTTTGTTTTTGTGACCAACCACTTCTAGGTATCGACCTAACCTCGTCTATGTTCTGATTTGTTTGGTTTTCAGGTAGAGGTGATGCAAAAGTCCCTGACTCAAAAACGTCAAGAGTTGGAGCAAATGAATGAAGCTGCGAATGCTAAGCTTAAGCAAATGGTACAGGATCAACAAGAGGCTGAGAAACGCAAGACTATGAGCCAGCGTTTGCAAGAAGAATTGGCAAATCAAGAAGTATTCATTAATGAAAAACGTGCTCTGGTGATGAATGAATTAAGTCAGGTTGAACCAGCAGTAAACGAAGCTAAACAAGGTCAGTGATATGTACCATCCATTTTCGTTAACCTCTTTATTATGTATATTATTATACATCATACACGTCTGTTTGTATCACCTTAGTTTTACTGTTTTCTTATACGCCTCTATGCGAACACCCAAAAATAGAGCTCAGACAAATATCAGCATTTTGTTTTCAGGAGCCGTTAAGTAGTGTATTGGAACTTGTATGTGTATGTATATACACAATATTTTCAATTTCATTGAGTTACATGTCTTTGAACAGATACCAATTATACAGTAGTCTTTTAGTGCTTTAGATGTCTATATTTCAATTGCTCACCCTTTTATAGTGAACATTTCATCGCTATGAAGGTTTGCTCATTTATCTACATAACAAGACTACAAATTGTTTTTTTTTCATTGGCAACGTTTCGTATCCTTTTCACTTCATGATCCTATGACCATATCCAAAATGAACTATCATCCGTTTGAGGCAGGTGCGATGTTGCATTCCTGCCTGAAATACAATAGACCACGGTTGTTTAACTGGTCTAGTTGATTATGAGCACATATATACCTGCTTTTGTCTAATTCTTATTGTACCCTTTAGCCGTCAATCAAGTTAAACGATCCCAGCTGGTTGAGATACGAGCTTTGGGCTCTCCTCCGCCTCCGGTCAGGTTGGCCATCGAGGCGGTGTGTACCATGCTTGGTGAAACAAGCATGGATTGGAAAGAGCTCCGCTCCTACCTGGTGCGCGACAATTTCATTCCATCGATAGTAAACTTTAATGTTGAGCAGATAACGTGAGTGTTTGTTGAATACGGAGTGGTTCCGCATCCCCAAAGCAGTGCCGTATTCAAAGTTGTGTTTGCCTGTCGAGCCTTTTCCGTTATTGTTTCGCTTTGGCCTTGTGCTTCGGCCTGTAACTTTTTTCCCGCTTTTCCCGGATCACGCTAGTTATTGTTTCTTCGTTGAGGTTGTTTTTAATTCATAAAATAGCTGAGTTCATTCATGTTTGATTTTTGTTTCACGTGCCCTCCCCCTTCTGTTTATTTCCCAACTTCCCTGTTCGGGTCAATTTCGACTCCAGCTGTGCTTGAGATTCGCAAACGTGACATCCAAGAGATTAAAGCTATGAAAAATCCACCACCTGTCATCAAAATGGCCGTTGAATCGATTTGCCTCTTGCTGGGTGATCATTCAACCGATTGGCGCCAAATTCTGACCACGGTGATGAAGGATACATTTGTTCCTAGCATTCTGAATTTTAACACTGACGAGATAACGTAAGTTTCACGACAGCAGAATCTAACCACCGCAGTAATAACTAACAAGCCAAAGCATAATGCATTTCGTAGACTTGGGTTTTAAGCGCACTTGAATACAGGTTCCACAACGCTTCATCTAATCCGAAAAATGATCTCATCGTGAACTAACACTAATCATCTGTCTGGCCGAAGGGACTCAACGCTGTGTATCACCTCTGACTGATCCGTTACTTGCCGCAGTTTGCAAACCAACAGATCGTATCCGAGTAGCGATTATTCGTTGCGGTGCTCGTGATAAGCTTCCTCCTTCAATTCACTTTGCTAATATCTATCGCGCTTTACTAACGCCGCAAATTGATTGTGCTGTTCTGCTTGATGATATTTGCTTNGGCTCGATGCTTTTCTTTAAATCACTCTGTCGCTGTTGCAACCGACCTGTTTAGAATAATCTGTGCAATACCGATGTATTTGATTTTCAGTGACAGTATCCGTGAGACTATGAAGAAGAAGTACCTGAGCAATCCGGATTATAATTTCGAAAAAGTTAGCCGTGCAAGTACCGCTTGCGGACCCATGGTGAAATGGGCCATTGCCCAAGTAAGCCATTGGTTATCTGTTCGAAAAGTGTTCTAGCGCAATAGTTGTGTGATATTTCATAACTTATGTTGGGTGATTGATCTACAAATTATCCAGAAAGAGTAGAATCCTGTTTGCTTTTGGTACAGTGGTAATGTGACTGTAACATAAGTTGACTGTTGCATATCATTGTTTCATTTTGCGATCTCACTCTATTATTCCAAGATTCATCACTTAGTTTTCCTGGATGCACCACTTGTCGTTATCGTTTTCTCATTCTCAATCACATCTCAGATCAGCTACGCAGATATGTTGAAGAAAGTGGAGCCTCTGCGAAACGAGTTGCGTCAGTTAGAGGAGGCTGCGACGAAGAATAAAGAAGAGGCAAAGAATGTCGAGGGCACGATCGAATCGTTGGAACGCAGTATTGCAAAATACAAGGAAGAGTACGCAGTGCTCATTAGTCAGGCACAAGCTATAAAAGCTGACCTGGCCACAGTCGAGGCCAAGGTAAGGCACAACACACCACTTTCGTTTCTCATCGATGCTCTAACAACAAATTAATAGGCCTAATAATGTTACTGTACTCGTTCTAACGGCTTGCTTTTTCTCCCTCAGGGGTTGCAATGAATTTAGCACCATATTTTTAAAGCTTAGTCATATATATGCACTCATTTATTGAGAACTGACCATCCTTCATATTTCACTTTCACGCACATTCCCCAGTTCTTCCTGAGAACCATACACTCGA